CCTTTTATCAAGCATGGCTGCTACTATGGTCATTTAACTAAAAGAACAAAACTGGGCAGCATATAAAAAGATTCTTATCTTCTGCAGCATAAAGGTAGAAAAGGCTAAGCATCAGTCCTAGGAATGAATTATCAGAGTAGCAGAAGGAATAGAACCCGTAGCTCAAGCCTGACTGGGAAGCAGTGACAGACTCGGAGGCTTGCAATAGGGACATCGGAGTGGATGTGCTTGAAACTCCAGAAGCTCTTGAAACTGGTGAACCTGCCATGTTACAGTAGCAACTTACTTGAAGAGGCCTCTGCATTGCAAGGCAATATGCATGGGCCCGCATGATCTGACCTCACCTCCCTTGTGACCTTCACATTTTGCCTTCAATTGATGATTAATAATCCTTAACTTTTCATTGTCTTTGGTATATCAGCAGCACTCAGCTAGAGCCACTTGATTCCATTTACATTTACCTGGAGACCTCTCAAAAGCCTGAAATGTACTAGCTAGCTGTTGTCTTCCACTGATACCCTCTTCCAGTTCTTCTCTAGTGAACATTTCACAATTGTACTTCTACAGTATGGAGGAGCTATCAGTTTGCCACTTAGCACCAGTGACAAAGGGACTCATTTACACCTGATTTTAGAACCTGTTTCCTCCAAGCATTCCTGACACCATTGAAGATAGAGCTCTTCTGGAAACAGGAAGTTGTAGTGTCATAGCGGAGTTTTGGTGTGGTGCTGTAGGATAAAGCGCTTGGCCACAAGGTTGGTTTGAACCACCAGGTAAACTGTCTGGCCACTCACTCATTGGAAACCCTATGCAGGGTCACTATGAACTGGAACCGACTCGACAGTACTTAACAACAATAGTGTCATAGTGGATAAAGTGGGCTGCAAATCAAAAGGTTGGTATTTTGAACCCACTAGCTCTCCCAGGGAAAAAGATGCAACTATCAGCTTCCATAAAGCAGATGTCGGGGTCGGGGTGGGGGTGGTGTTCTGTAGAGTCAGTTCTGACTCATAGTGACTGTATATAGGATTTCCAAGGCTATAAATCTTTATGGGAGCAAAAAGCCTCGTCTCTTTCTTCCATAGAAGTTTTGAATTTCTGGTAGTTTCGAATCTCTGACCTTGTGACCACTGCGCTACCTGAGCTCCTTGCGAAATGATGTCCAGCCTTGGAGCTCCCATGGAGCAGTTCTGCTCTGTCGTATAGGGCTGCTGTGAGTTGGAATCGACTTGATGGCAATGGGTTTTTGGCTCTTGGAAAAAGACGCTGAAATGGATATTTACTTCAGGAATTTTACTGGGGAGTGTTCTTAGCATCTTGTTGCTGTTAAGTGCCGTCAAGTTAGTTCCAATGCATAGCAACCCTGAATATGGTTTCTGAGACTTTTACATCTTTGTGGGAACAGAAAGTCTCATCTTTCTCCTGCGAAGTGGCTGGTGGTTTCAAACCATGAACCTTGTGCTTCACAGTCCAGTGCTTATCACAGGGAGCCACCACACTCATGCTTAGCATCTATGTTGTTATGTGCTGTGGAGACACTTCCGACTCATAGCAACCCTGTGCAGGGTTTCCGAGGCTGTAAATCTTTACGGGAGCAGAAAGCCTCATCTTTCTCCCGCAGAGCAGCTGGTAGTTTCAAACTGCTGACCTTGCGTCTCGCAACCCGATTCGTAACCACTATGCTACCAGAGCTCCTTCTTAGCATCTATACTAGCAAAAAATAATTTTTTTAAGTAAAATGTATAGTAGAAGGAGTTTTAACTGCAATACAGTCTCCCAAAAAGAGGTCAGGAGTTGAAATGGCCCTTCAAAACTGCCTCACTGTAGTACTTAGGGCTGGGTCTTCATACTCCTGTGTTAACCAGTCATTCCTCTATGGGGAGGAAGGACAATCTTAGGTGAGAAAACTCTTGGCTGAGGACAATTCCCTGAAATGAACTCAGCTGAGAATTGCTAGCCCTCAGTCATGAAGCGGGAATCATCCTCTGTGACTGACTGGTTGATGGTGGTGATTGTTGTGTACCATCAAGTTGGTCCCAATTTATAGTGACCCTGTCTAGGGTTTCCGAGGGCTTAAAGCTTCATGGGAGCAGAAAGCCTCATCTTTCTTCCACGGAGTGATCGATAGATTTGAACTACTAATCATGCAGTTAGCAAACTAGCTCGTAATCCACTTCGCTATCAGACTGATAGACAGGTCAATACTTGGGTGTAAACTGAAACAATGGATCCTTGAAACAACAGCTGCCTTTACTACATGTTCTCTCTACTCTGAGTTTTTCCTACTTGATTTGATTCGTTTTTCATGGTTCTTGTGATGCACATCCTGGAAATCATAAGCATTGTCTGTAATCAGTGGTGTCAGTGTAGGCTGGTATGGAAACACAATGGAAGTGCACTCACCTCTGAATGATTAAGTTAAGGTTTCCTCAGTACACACAAGGTCTCATCTCAACTGAAACACTATCTGCATGTGAGATTCCTTTGTGAACAGTGGGGCTGGGATGGTGATGGATAGGGGGGTCTGCATTTTCAACAAACCTGTTATGTGTGCTCAGGCAATATACAGATTTATTTCGGTGACCTAGAAATGAAAGTATTCTCTCTTGCAGACTAGCCCCAGGCTAGCTGTTCTGAAGCCATCTTGCTGTTCCTCTGAAAATAACAGCAATAATGGAGCTGAGGAAAATGATTTCCTCCTGCAGTCATTTTAGGGAGGAGGTAAAAAAGGGGTGAAATACTGTAATGCTTGATTGATTTAGATTTCATTGTGATGCTGAATTATTTTGTATGGAACAGGAATCTGCATAGTTCTTTTTCTCAATAGGGAGCCAATATGTCCAGTTTTAGGAAAGGGAGCAGAGTGAATATGTAAGTGGAGCTCTGGTAGCGTAGTGGTTACGAATCGGGCTGCGAACCTTAAGGTCAGCGGTTCGAAACTACCAGCCGCTCCGCAGGAGAAAGATGAGGCTTTCTACTCCCATAAAGATTTATACCCTCGGAAACTCTGTACAGGGTCGCTATGGGTCGGACCTGACTCAACGGCACTTAACAACAACAACAACATTTGAGTATTAGACTGAACCAGGCCCACCAGAGCTTAGACTTTCATTTTAGACACCTTTGATTCCCTGCTGCTTGTGAAGGGATGGGTGGTAAGCTTTGAGACATGATCTGAGGTCCTACTGAGATACCAGTTTTGTGTTTTCTTAATTTCATCTGTTCAGCTCAGCTTTTTGTTAGTGTTGGTTATTTTAGTAGAAAAATCTTATCTTCATTACCAAGAAATGATGAGGCAACTGCAATTATTACAAGATAGTTTCTCTTATTTTTTTTGAGAATTACCTACTTAAGAAAACACAACTTTTTGCTTCCCTTTAGAAGCAAAATTTAGCTTGTTGTTTAAATTTAGCTGAATTTCTAGCACCAAATATAGATGGTATCCATTTGTATTTTTAATTTCTCTGGTTGTTGTTGTTGTGAAGTGCCATAGAGTCAGTTCCGACCCATAGCGACCCTGTATAGGGTTTCCAAGGAGCAGCTGGTGAGCTTGAACCACTGACCTCACAGTTCAAACCCACTGTGCCACACCAGAAATTAAAGTTGAGAATAATACTGAAATTTCAATACTTAAAAATGTTCCTGTCATCAACAGGCCAGCTTTCATCATCCTGCCTCCCAATACCATTAAAAAAAAATCTAGTTCTGTGTGAAAAAGAGATGATCAGTTCAGTGTTAAACTCAAGTTGAGTGAAATATATAAAAAAAAAATGGTTTTAAAAATTATTTTAAAATTTTACATGTAAGAATTTCTAATTTAGGGTCTGGGTGGCAGAAGTAGAAAGGAGAAAGACTTTAATTAGCTATGAGATTTTGGCGTCATCTCTGGCAGAGGGAGATTCACTTTGGCATCCCAGGGTCTCCTTCTATTCCATTTATTTGTGATTTTATAAAGTTGTCTCTTTAAACTCTGTTAACAGTGATGGTGTTTCTGATTTCTAGTGATCTCTTGGTCAGCTGATTCCTTGCCACTCCTCAAAGTCTGCCATAATCTGTATCCTAATTTGGCTTGACATTCTCTAGTGATGTAAAGGGCAGGCGCCTTCATGGTTTGCCCTGATCAAAGCTTGACAACTCAGCAGCATTCCTGTTCCAGAGCCCTCTGCCTGGGACAGATCTGAGACTGTTCATTGTTCCACCCACTGGATCTCATTTAAGTCCAAACAGCTATCCCCAAGGTGTATTATTCAGTCATCTGTCAGAAATGTTATTTCAGCTGGAAGTGAATTCCTCCCACCCCCCAGTGTTACCTTCAGTGACATCATAGTAGTTATTAAAAATAAAAAAGTACCCTGAATTCAAAAGGTAGCTGATATTTATTATTTAGAGCCAAGATGTCCATGACTTGCATTTCAAATACAATGTGGATTATCTGTTTCCTATAGCCTCTCTGGCCTTGGGCCAGTACTGTGGGCTAGATCTACTCAGTGACCAGGTGGAAAGAACTGGGTGTTGAGATACCCTTGTAATGAACTATTCGCTCAAAGCAGATTCCCTGCCTCTTAAGGAGTTAAAAAAGATAGTTCAATGTGTGACAGACATGCCTTGGAGACTGTCACAGAGAAAAATTTGTTAAGTTGGGAGACCCAACAGGAGACACAACAAATGATGTAATGGTGGACAAAACCCTGCTTGAACCAGGCATTTTACTTACAGTTTTAATCTTTTGGAGAAAAGATTCTACAGCAAAGGAAGTCAGAGCAGAAGGAAAAGCACAAAGTAAGGAGAGAGACAAGGCTGGGGGTTGGGGGTGCGGTCACAGAGAGATACAGAGAAAAAGAAGAAGGAAGACTTCAAAGATTTAAACTTTGTGTTTGTGTGTCTCCCACTGGCGTATTGTAATATTGATCTAAGCAAGTATTCCTTTTTGTTGATACTAAATGCTCATGTTACCCAAAAGAACTAATGTCTTAATTATTATTATTATATTTCCTTTATAGGGTCGTCATGTTAAAACGGGCCAGCTTGCAGCAATCAAAGTTATGGATGTCACAGGGGTAATGTATCTTTATCTTGCTACCTCCATAGATGTATGTTTGGAATAGAGACGATAGTGGTTGAAAAAATGGTACATTTAATAACTCAGGAAAGAACATTTTTCAGAAAAACTATCTTTCTAACCTTCTAAGATCTTTCTCCACTCATGCATAACATAAAGAATATACCAAATCTGACAGAAAAGACCAAGGATAAGTCACACTAATGAGTTAGATACCTACATACTGCCTTATGCAGTTAGAGTGAATAATGTGTAAAGATAATTTGCATAAACTCAACCACAGATATTTGCATATGAAGATGGAACAAGTATTTCAAGGTATTAACAGAATAATGCTGAGATTACATGGAAGAGATGAGTCTTAACAGTTTCCCCAAAGGTTCAGCTAACACTGGAGTAGACAAGAGCTTGGCTAACTAAAAAATCCTAGTGGAATTTTCAACCTAAATATTCCCCAAACATAATATTACCTACTAAACCATCATAATAATCACAAATTATTATAATAGAACAACACCAAAACAGAATTTCTGCCTGGATGATAAAAGAAACTGAAGAAATAGCCTTTATTTTAAGTACAGTTTAATGTTTTTGATCCTTTTGCTAAGTCTAGTTAAAATAGTTTAGTGCCTTTTTCAAGAGTACAGAGCAGAAATTAGACTTGAAAGAACTCATTGGACATCAAAGGCCTGCTAATAATTTCTATTGTCCTGGGGATTTTTCTAAAGCATCTGTGTGCTGTACATGAAAGATAAAAGACCAAAGTCTTCAATTCATCCCAGAAGTGGTGTATCCATTGTAAATCAACATTGAGTAAATGAGTCACACAAAGGTATCAGGAACCAGTGTACAAATGCAGAAGGTACACACAGTATATCTGCATGTTGAACTTCGCTTTCCTGCCCCAGTTTGTTCCCTGTGACAAGTAGATGGAATTTGGTAGGTTACCTATTATAATACCAGTTTCAATCATTTCAATTTATACTATACTGTACTGAGATTCCTGGGGTGGCGCTGTGGGTTAGTGCGCCAGACTGCAAAGCCGTTTCAACTGCAAGGTCAGTGGTTCAAGCTCACCAGCTGCTCCTTGGAAACCCTATACAGGGTTGCTATGGATTGGAACCAACTCAATGGCACTTAACAACAACATACTGTACTGACTTCCTTTTCCTTTCCCACACATAAATTTATCTGAATTCCTCTTTAATCTAAAAATTGTTATTCTTATATGTATATTACTACTTGGATAAAGTAGTATTTCTTTCCTTTTATCCTAAATACATAATTCAAATTTCAAAGGTTACATACCCATTCAAATATTTAACCCAATTAGTTTTTTAATTTATTGGGCAATTACTGAATGGAAGCTACATATGTGTTACATTAATCAGGTTTAGATTCTACTCCCAGAGAATAGCAAACCCAAAATGTTGTCATTAAGTGCCATCAAGACAGTTACGACCCATAGCGATCCTATATAGGGTTTCCAAGGAGTGGCTGGTTAGTTTGAACCGCCGACCTTGTGGTGCAAACCGACCTTGCAGTCCAGTGCTTTATCTCACAACACCGCACCAGGACTCCAAACCCAAAATAACCAAGACTTAATTGACTTGATGGCACTTAACAATAAGCAATGACAAGCATGAGAGGGAGCTCTGGTGTGGCGCTGCAGGATAAGCACTGAACTGCTAACTGCAAGATCAGTAATTCAAACCACCAGCGCTCCTTGAAAACCTTATACAGGGTCACTATAAGTCACAATCTCTTGGACCACACTTATCTTCCAACACAGATCTGTTGTATTTGTAGACAATATTGTCTTTGTAGACTATATTATATGCCAGTTGGAAGAAATGCAGCCATAGTGCACCTTGGAGTCCAGGATAGTCAAACTTCATCGCTCATAATTCAGACATACTGTCAGCAGGGACCAGTCGCTAGAGAAGAATATCATGTTTGGTAAGGTGGAGGGTCAGAGAAAAAGAGGAAGACCCCCAGTGATATGGATTGGCAAAGTGGCAGCATCAATGGGCTCAAGAGTGGCAACAATAGTGAGGTTGGCCCAGGACCGGGCAGTGTTTCATTCTGTTGTACTTTGGGTCACTGTGAGTCGGTATTGACTCTATGGCACCAAACAAAAACAAATAGACTCTGGAACCCTAGTGGAACAAGTTTAGGAAGGTTGGTTTGGTAGTTGGTAAACATGATAGATGTTTCTTACTGTTTCATGTTAAAGGAGTCTAGAGGTAACAGCCCAGAAATGTATGTGTTAGAATACAAGAATGCATCTTTTCTTTCTGCTCTACCATTCCAATGAATGGCTTCTACACTTAAGGTCACTTCATACTGAAGATGGTCTATCTGGTTTCCATTGATCACCTTATATGGAAAGTAAAAAAAAAAAAGAATTCACAAGGGCAGAAAAGAACCTCTTTGGATGGACTACAGTCTTTCTATTTTATATAACATTTTTCTACTTACTCCTATTTCCCATACCTAAGTGCAAGGGATAGCTAGGAACTGTAATCTTTTATTTTGCCAATGTGTCCAGGTAAAAATCCAGTTCTATCCGTCAAAAGGAAAGAAAACATGGATATTGCATAGTCAATTAGTAGAATCTGATAGAAAATTTGGAATGAGATATGATCAGTCTCAACATATAAACTTTTGCAACTCTGTTAAAGTCATGCTACTGTATTTTCCTTGGATTAAATAGGATTCCCATATAAAGAAATGCTCTTGACAGTGGAACAACTAATGTTGGTGGATGGAGTCCAAGACATTCGCACTGTAGATTAAGTTCTATTGTGTTGTAATGTGGAACTGTAGTTAAATTGTACTGACATCATTAATCCCATTGCACCAAGTGTGCTGAAATTTGTTGTTCAAAGTATGGCTTGAGGACTCTTTTAGTTTCTGGATCTATTTGTCCAATGTTAGAATGTTTGTATAATCACTCTAGACCAGCTTGCTTTGAATTAAAAATGTTCTACAGCTCTTAATCGAAAAATATGTTTTTTTTTTTCAGTTAAGAGTGTCAGTTAACATTCAAAAGTAGATTCCTTTTGAAAACAAAGTCCTACAGAAAATGGTTTAGTGACTGTTTTCTCATTTCTCCCGAGGAAGGCAGAGCCCCAACCCTGTTCTAGATACATCAGAGAGTTAATTCAATACATACAATGGATGCCTTATGCCACTGAGGGTTAGTTCTCCTGGGGGGAACCCTTGTTAGAAAGGGCTGGATGGTTTCCCTCATTTAAGCACAGCACTGACTTGTTATTAAATCATGGGCCCTTAAAAATGACAAACACAGATACACATAAGGAAATGATTTTCTTGTTTCCCCTAGTATCTGGTACAGCATCAAATGACTTTTGTATCACTCCCTTACTTATTTCAGTCAACATAAGATTTCTTTTGTGAGATTCATGTAGTGCCCCCAGAAAACAATCTATTTCATTTTACCATGTTGTCTTTTGTGTATTATAGAATACTACAAAAGCTTCTTAGCAATTATTATAATTGAGCTCATTATAGCTCCTCTGTTAAAACTGAGATGAATTCCCTAAGGTCGGCTTTGTGAATTGTATACTCTGACCTACTGCAAAGTTACTATAGTTTATTATAATTAAATTGATGAAGCCATAAGCTTGAAATCAATTTTTGAATCATTTATTTAATTCTAAACTACTTGTTTTAAAGAGAAAACAGCCACTGGATATTATGTTTCCATCCTTCTGATGTTAAAACAGAGACACTTCTAAATTTGATAACATGTATCTCAGGATTAGTACTGAGACTCAGATTTTGACACTCTTTAGTTCCTGAAATCTGTGTGTGAATTTTCGTATTTCATTTTCTCTGGGGATTCCTTCCCAGCTGAATGTGTGAACTCTCTATTCACCAGAGAAAGTGGACCCTCGAGAGTACTATTTCTCAAACTAGACTACTAGCCTTAGCACCCCTCATGTGATCATGAGAAATATATATTCTTCCATGATGTTCACATAAGGAGCTCTGGTAGCGTAGTGGTTACGAATTGGCCTGCGAACCACAAGGTCAGCAGTTCGAAACTACCAGCCACTCCACGGGAGAAAGATGAGGCTTTCTGCTCCCGTAAAGATTTACAGCCTTGGAAACCCTATACAGGGTCGCTATGGGTCGGAACCGACTCGACGGCACTTAACAACAACAACATGATGTTCACATAACCTAAAGTTAGAAGACTACTTTTCTGGGGGCTTATATTTAGCAAAGGGAGCTCTGGTAACATAGTGGGTTAAGAGTTGGGCTGCTAACCACAGGGTCAAGAGTTCAAATCTACCAGTTGTTCCTTGGGAGAAAGATGAAACTTTCTACTCCCATAAAGATTTGCAGCCTAGGAAACCCTAAATCGGGTCGCTATGAGTCAGAACCAACTCCAATAAATACCAGCTGAAGGGCCTATACATAATTGCAGTTTTCATTTATATAAAATTCCTGGTGTAAACTTGTCCCTTAATAAAGCCACCTCGAAGCTTTGACAATACTTAATAAGATAATAGCTTAATATCCTAGGCTTTTACCTTCAAAATGATAGTCATGAATGCATTTTCAGTACACCTTGGGTTGTAGTAACAAAACCCCCATCCATACTGAATTAACATGAAAAGGAGATTGAAAATAAAAATTTTAAATTAATTTTTTTGAAAACGTAACTAACTTTTTAAAATAATAAAAATAATAATGCTGATAGAATATCCAGGTAGTCACATGATATGATTAGGACTATTGTATCTCTCTCTCTCTCTCTCTATCTCTGGGATTTGCTCTCCTCCCCACATTATGGTGACAAGAATGATCCCCAGAAGCTCCAGATTCAGACTTTCATTGCCTCATTAAGGTTAGTCCCAGCAAAATTGCCACGCTGGATGTAAGTGGGCTTGCTTGGGTTATATCCCTCATCTTAAGCTACTCCCTGCCCTTCTTCAGCCATGTCTGGGTTGGGTGCCCAATACT